TTGGAATTGAGAATTTCAGCATTAGGATTAAAAAGGCAGAAGGCAGAAGCAATTGCACAAGAAAACCGGCTTCCCACTGTACCATCCGTTTGAGTGTTGGATCTTTCCTTCGAAGTCCTTTAATAAAAGAGTGTGGCTTGGTTGCATCTGAAATGAACTTGGCATTGGTTTGATTAAAACAGCATATCCATCTCTGCACAGACACCAGGCAGGACTCGTCCAGAGCCAGGAAGAATCCCATCCTTACAGTGGAGAAGAGAACAAACATTTTCACAGTCTAATCAATCTTGTGGAGCAGATGGATACAGTAATTAGTGCAAAAACAATTTTGCCAAGAGTATTAACATTTCTACCGTTTATCAGAAAGGGGGTGTTGTCGTTGGTCAATAATTTCCCGATTATTGCAAAAATATTTATACTTGTTGACAAGTTTGCAGAAACTACAAGGAAGCAGATTTCTGGCCCAGCCACTGTTTTGTAACAGAGTGGCTGAGGGTTACAGCCCCCAAAATATGTATATTTCTTGAAGTTAAAAAAAAAAAGCCCTGTTTTTCTCAAGCTTCAAGTATAAAGCCATAAAAATATGGACAGTGTGTGCAGAGCATGTGTTTATGCCATTGTGCTAATTATCATGATATCTGGGTGCCAGTGTTGACAAAAACAATATATGAAACACATGACTGCTGCCAATTCTTTGGAGAACCCAAGCCCACCCTTTTCTCTGTGATTGATTATTTAAATGCCACTGCAAAAAGGCTTATTCTTAAAGAGCCATAGCAGAATTCTGACTTCTTAGCCAGTCCTGAGATCAGTGTTGACGAAGCCCTAAATGGTTTGGGGCATCCCGCCATTGAGAACCGTACATTATGTGGAGGTGCAGGGGAAGGTTTTCTCAGCGGCAGCACCTGAACTGTACAGTGACCCACTTGGGGTCTGAGACTGGCATCATTTTCGCACCACACGGAAACATGGTTATTTGTTAGTGCTTCTGTCGGTTGAGGATCTCAGCCTGCACAGGGTTAATGCAATGGTTTTTAATGTTTTAATTTTATGTCTTCTAATCTGTTTCAGCTGGCTGGATAGCTCAGTGTATCAGGCTGCAGAGCCAGAGGCTGTGAGTACAATTCCTCACTGTGCCTCCCCTGAGTAGAAGCACGGTCAGCCTTGGGCAAGTTGCACAAAGGTGCCCCCAGTAGAAGGAAATGTGAAACCACGTCTGAATACTCTTTACACAGAAAGACCTGAACAAGGTTGCTGTAAGTCAGAATTGACTTGATGGCATACAATTGTTATTATTAAATTGTTCTAAAGGGTTTTTTTTGTTTTAAATGGTCTTATACGGCTCTGTAACCTCCCCTGAAATCCTGCGATCTAAGGCATTCTAGAAATGTTTTAAGTACATGAATGAATGAATGAATGAATGAATGAATGAATGAATGAATGAATGAATGAATGAATGAATTCTAGAGCAGTGGTTCTTAACCTTTGTTACTCGGATGCTTTTGAACTGCAACTCCCAGAAACCCCAGTCAGGACAGCTGGTGGTGAAGGCTTCTGGGAGCTGCAGTCCAAAACTCCTGAGTAACCCAAGGTTAAGAACCAGTGTTCTAGAGGAACTAGAGGAATTCAGTACAATGATTTTCCACCATTTGACTTATGCTGTAAGGCATAATTGAAAGGATTCTGGCCCCTATGTTATAGAGATCTTTCTACAGAAGTGCTTATAAATACTGTACCTCTTCAGTGCCATCAAATCTGACATTAGTTTTTGTGAACTGCAGCCTTCTTCATCCAATGCACTGCAGTGAGTTGCATCCCATGGAAGCTTATGCCAAAGAAAATTCATTAGTCCTTGTTGCTTTCTCTTCTGCAAACTCCCTGCTTCTGAACTTTTGGCACAGGTTTTAGTTTAACCTGAACACAATTTGGATCAAGGCCATTATTTTTCATTTTTCTTTTGTTGTTTAGTCGTGTCTGACTCTTCGTGACCCCATGGACCAGAGCCCGCCAGGCCCTCCTGTCTTCCAAAGCCTCCCAGAGTTGGGTTAAATTCATGTTGGTCACTTCGATGACACTGTCCAAGCATCTCGTCCTCTGTCATCTACTTCTCCTCCTGCCTTCACACTTTCCCAACATCAGGGTCTTTTCCAGGGAGTCTTCTCTTCTCATCAGATGGCCAAAGTATTGGAGCCTCAGCTTCAGGATCTGTCCTTCCAGTGAGCACTCAGGGTTGATTTCCTTTAGAATGGATAGGTTTGTTCTCCTTGCAGTCCAGTGGATTCTCAAGAGCCTCCTCCATCACCACAATTCAAAAGCATCAATTCTTCGGTGGTCAGCTTTCTTTATGGTCCAGCTCTCACTTCCGTACATCACTACAGGGAAAACCATAGCTTTGACTATGTGGACTTTTGTTGGCAAGGTGATGTCTCTGCTTTTTAAGATGCTGTCGAGGTTTGTCATCGCTTTCCTCCCAAGAAGCAGGCATCTTTTAATTTCGGGGCTGTTGTCACCATTTCTTTTAACAATCATGATTTAGTCCCTTAATGCCTTTATAACATTAAGATAGTTTTTTAATGCTTACTTGCTTTTAATTGTTCAATTGTATTTTAATTTGCACATAGTTTAATTGTTTTTAATGTTTAACAATTATATTTTAATTCTATTATTTTTTAATATTGTGAGCCATCTTGGGTCCTCTTACTACAAGAAAGGCGACCTGTAAATAAAACAAACAAATAAAATGATGATGATGATGCCAGAGTTGAAGATAAAGACTTGGAAAAAACTAACAAAATACCTTGGCAATTGAAGCATCTCACTTGTGGATGAAACATACCTCAGTATGTTTCATCTGGGCTTTGGGAACAATATCAAAAAATTTCACAAAGTATTATAAGTAGTTGCAGATTCCAGAAATAACATCATCAGAGCTACAAAAACCAACAATATTGGGAACAGCATATATACTGTGTCAATATTTAACAGATATTTAGGTTTTTGGTTAAAACTTGTATATATTATATAATACCAGTCAGTGTTTTTGTAATTCTGATTGACTGTGCCTGGTATTTCAATAATAATGATAAGAATAATTTGATGGCACTAGCATTCTCAAGGAGTGTTTGTATGTAGTGCATTAGCACTGTTTGGTAACATATTATAAATTTGTCTTAATTTTTGTTCATGGTCATAGGATTGTTAGAAAAACTTTCAAAAAAGGCCTTGTGAGGATAAGCTGGAAAAAAAAGTGCTTCTTTTTTTAAAGAAATGTTGGAGCAGTATTCTGAACAACTCAGATCATAAAGAAAAGCGAATTCCAGCCTGGGCAACCTAGGATTAAAACAGCGTTACACAAGAAGGCTAATGGAACTATCCCTTAATAATAGTTCACTTTGGGCAAACCGAGCTGTACATTTGTATACTCCACGTCCACCATGAACAAGTTAAAGGCTAGAAGGAGTGTTCTATCATTACTAGATCAAAACAGAGCCACAGTGTGTTATCTGCACAAGATATTAGGCTATGTCAGTGTGTGTTAAGCTAACATATTTCACAACCACTTTTAAATCTTTCTCTTGAAAATCACCAGGTGTTCAACCCTTGGGGCAGAGAGCAGGAGTATTCAAACTAGACACAGCTGAGAAAACTGAGAACGGCGGGGGAAGGGGGAATCAAGGGTTTTTAAAATAAGAAGCAGAATATAGGGTTGTTTAGACATAGAATCTGTGTAAGTATTTGGTGGCTTTAGCAAATAATCCAACACCTTTGGTTTTTTTTTAAAAAAATAGTCGTATTTCATGGCAATGTCACTTGCAGGGCTTCATTTCCCAACTACAGCTTCCTTGCATCACAACAATAACAGACTTACTTCTGTAGTGCAGCTGTGCTGAGCTTGGCACAGGACCAAAGACTCTGGACTGAGCAGGCGTCATTCACCAAGCCCAAAGCCATCTGAGATCTAGACCTGTCCCGTGCAAAAAAACAAGAGCACCTGCTGGATGCGCCAACTGATGTGTCACACCAGCCTACAGTGCTGGCAATCTCCAGGCTGATTTGGTGTCTGAGCTGCCAAATATCTCCAGATGCAAGCTGTAATCCTCTTTGCCAAGCCACCAGCCAACAGGAGGACTTGGAGAAGCCTGAGCAGGGTGAATGTTCAGAAAAGAGACTGGCTAGGATGCATTTAATTAGAAAAGTGGGGAAAGAACAACACTCTACCAATTTAAAGTGCCTTTCTAACACACTTCTCTCTATACTTCCTGACTGTGTCACTCATGATGATGGTTGTATTATGAGCTTGAGCTGTTAAATGTCTCTAACAATACAGTGTTCATTTCTTTTGCATCACTACGGTCTGGATTTCTGCAGCATAATTTCCATGATGCAGAATCTTTATCTCACAAAGGCCCACCCAGTGCTCCATTCTGGCTTAGTTATTTAACCAGAGCTGTAAATTCAAATTGATTTCTCCTCTTCAGTTGAGAGGGGTACACACAAATGGACCCTCTCTCTGCAAGACTGGAGATGCATGCCCAGGGCTACTTGGAGAGACCAATGGTGAAGAGCCCTTCACTGAACCCCTTCTGACCTCAGTGGACCCTGGGAAAGGTGGTAGCAGCAACAGAAGCACTCTGAATAATTGCTGAATGCCCAGGAGCTGACACTGGCATTTCCCTCAAGATGCTGGCATAGATTGTGGCATGTTGACATATTTGAAGAAGTTAAAATTATAGCCTCCTCCTAAAATGGTGGCTCCTAAATGTCATCTCTTTTTGGAAGGGGAAGCCAAGGGCAGGCAGAAAACTAGCCTGGTATTAATTGAATACCTATGTTTCATTATGCTAGAAACCTTTGGCCTGACAAGCAGAATATGGAATATTTTCAATTGATATGTCATAGTTAGACACCTTGGGGAGTCACTTCTGAAAGGAAAAAAGATACTCAGCAGGATTTTATTTTTATTTTACTTCATTTCATACATGTATTCCCTTTATATTCAGCATTTCTTCATGGAAGGTCAAGGAACTGTACATGGCTCTCCGCTTCACTTTATTCGCCCTACAAGGAGGTTAGGCTGAGAAGATTAAGTAAGAGGTCCTTTTCTCCCTCCCACTGTTTTGCTTGAACAGGTAATTCACCATTATTCTCCCAATGATTTGTTCTGGGTGGGTGGGGGGAGATTGTACACACTCAAGAAACCCAGCTGTTCATTGGTAGGATGAAACCATGGCTCTGGGGAGCCTAGGGGAGTGCCCCCTCTTGCTACTATGGGAGAAAAGAGAAGAGGAATGGAGTAGACAGGTTTGCTGGCTCATCTGAGGCAGCAAGAGATCTTGGCCTGATGCTGAGTACAGTGGACCCTTGACTTACAGACGGCTTGACTTACAGACTTTTTGAGTTACAGACTTCTCTGGCCGCAAAATTTAGGTTTGACTTGCAGACTGAGATTTGACTTACAGACCAGAAAAAAACCAAAATGGAACAAAAACGGCCTGTTACGGGATTAATCAGTTTTCAATGCACTGTAGGTCAATGGAGACTTGACTTACAGACTTTTTGACTTGAGAACCGCCTTCCAATACGGATTAAGTTCTCAAATCAAGACCCCACTGTATTTACGGTTGTTTTCACAGATAGGCTTTGGGAACTTTTACCACACCTTGTGTTGTTAACACTGCCTTCTTGCTGACCTACTGTAATGTTTGCTTTTCTATTTAGGAGGCAAAGCTTAGTAATACTTGCATTTCGGGACTACAGCAAACAGCTGGGCACTGTAGTCTAGAAAAAGCTTGCTTAGGTTAAATCCAAGCTGTATTTGATTGCTCTCTTGTCATAATTATATGCAATCCCCCTGAATTGTTGTTTATTGTGGCTTCTTGCTGCCTTGTGTACAATGCCTTTTACAATGGTTGTTTTTAAATTGTTTTATTGCCAGCTTTTATTGCTGTTTGTTCCTTTTGTAGGAGCCAGCTTTTTATTATTCTGGAAGCCACCTCAAACAATGTAAAGAAAAGTGAGGTATATGTAGTTTAATTAAAGGAATTCTTCTGAGTTAATCCACTTCAAATTCAGACACATCTTGGAAGTACAATAATGCTGCTGGATTATTAACCAAAAGACAAAGAGGCAAAATGAATAAGGAATATACATTGCTACAAAGGGCTAATGAATTTGGTTTATTTTTATAGACCATCAGAGGTATTTAAGTGCAAGATGAGAATGTTTGGGCCCTATGAAAGCAAATTTCTGTTCCAAACCCTCTCCCCAGCCCTTTTAGAAAAAATTGCTCCTATTTTTCTTTGTACGCCTTTTAAAATGACCTGTTTAGGTTCATGCTGGGACAGTGTTATTGCTGTTGTTGTTTTGCATGAAGCTAATAATCAATATGGGTCTTATTTGTTGTTGCCTTTACTAGAAACAATTTTGTCAATATTTGTTATTGCTTTTAAAAGAAACAAGCCTATTTCTAAAAACAGCTTTCAAAACAGAATTTGAAAAAAAATGTTTTTTGAATAAGAGCAAGCACGATCTCTTAGGTTATATATATGAGATTCTAATTTAATAATAGGCACTGTATGTATTGAATGCCTAGACTTTTGGTGTTCCAAACATCATATAAACCACATATTTTTTAAAAAAGGCATTACTGGTCTGACTACCTGAAACAGGGCAAAGAAAGGTAGCTGAACACATCTAAGCCTAAACAGATATTAAAATCAAGAGTGGGCATTATGTCACCCTTCTGATCTGGATATGGCAATAGATTTATTCTTACTACACTGTAAATTTGTGGAACTGCAATTACACATTAGTGTGTATTTATTTTAGATTGTTTTGATCTTGTTGGTCTTTGACCGTAATAAAGCTATTCAATCCTACAATAGTGTGTAAGCTTTCAAATTCTCTGGGCTGCCTAATTTTCAAAAAATGGGCATGAAGCATGGAAGCCTATAAACTTGCTACTTGCTTTAAATATTTTAGCCTTGAGACCCGCAATTAATGTCAGTCACATTTTGGGAAATGCAAACTTGGTGAGGCCCTATCTCAGGTATCAGAATGCATTTACAACTGGATTTCAGCCATTGTGGCCCAGCTTAGTTTTAGCATCGTGTCATTGTCATACATCGCTAATGCTTTGCAGAACTGGAGAGAACTGCAAACACTGCACTTTGATTTCCTAGCCGTTTTATTGTTTGTAACAGATAGTTAATATGATTACAAAGAAAATTTAGAATACCTGGAATTTTATAAAGTATTTTCTGGAATTGCAGCAAGATCTATGCTTCCCAAAGGAGGTGGGGTGGCGAAGGCCAAATTGGCATTGCATTCTGAAGCTACTGGATGTACTTGAAGTAGCTCTTGGAATCTCGTCCATAAGGTTTATCTCACAAACTATTTCCAACATAGGACACTTCTGATATCCTTCCTTGCAGAGAACTGAATGTCAAAATCAATGTGATCTTTCCCAACTCAAATTTGTCCATTCACTATTGGCAGTGCATGTATACATGGTGTGTACAATATTACTGCTATCCCACAAAAGAAATCAAATTATAAATACAACAAAGAACCACAGCAATATCACGCTTCAAGGCCTTTAGGACAGAACACGTATTATTTTTCCACCTTAGTACTGCCAAATAGAAACAACAGTTAACACCAGCTTTTTAGGGTAACAATATGGTGAGGATGTCATATCATTTTAAATAATTTATTTGAAAATTGGAATTGCTTCAGTTTGGATGTTGTAATATCCAGTCATGTATGCCAGCACTTAAAAATCATGTTTTGATATTCTTAAAGCATTAGTTTTAGTAGAATGGAGAAAAATGTGTCACCTGCAACAAAATGATGAGATCCTCAACTGAGGAAATCCTGTTCAGGGTTCCAGGAAGCCAGCCATGCCCTCCTCCAATCCTTTCCCCATTTAAATTTTGAAACAATTAAAAATTGGGGGGCTGCTGGAGAGGATTGGGCATGTTCAGTCCACATTGGGCTATTTAGCAGGTCCTTTCCATTTTTATTTAGATTCCTCTGCTTCTGCATACTCAGGGTGACTTGAAAGTTATGTAGAAACTATTATTTTGGGGCAGCCCTCCCTTTCTTTGAAGATGACTTCTATTCAAACACACTGGTCCAGTTTTAGAGATAATGATAGTGTTAATAAAAAAAACCTTATAGTTTGTGCACTCCTGTTCCTTTAACAAAGACCATTAGTGGCCAATGATACAGAATTGTGTGAATGACAACAGTATGTTTTTTGAAAAATAATCTTGTCTTCCCATACATCTGCTCAGTTTGATCTTGACTCAGAAATTGTGAAGCCTGAACAAAGGAGTTTGATAGTATCAGCAGCAGTTTCCCAAGACGATGAGTAAGTGACAGGAGTTGCACCTGTCAATTGTCTCTCTCCACTTGGTTGTTGCAAAAGGCTTCCATTTGCTGCATTAATTCATTTATTTGCCCCTGGGGACATTTTTTGCAGCTCTGCAGCCCACATGTGGTTCTCAGAGCAAAAATCTTTTTGGCCTAAATTTTTTTGCTAGCACCAACTGCAGCAGATCCACTGAATTAATTGTTGGTAAGTCAACATTTATGTCAACCTCATTCATTTCGACAGGAGTAATTTAGTAATTGCAAATAGGATTGTGACCACAGTTTTTGTCAAAAATACTTACCGGTAAATTCAAAATATTTTTACCCTGCCTCTCTCCTTAAAAGGACCCAAAGTGGGTCTTTTTATTAGTAATAACAATATTTCTAGAACAGCACATTTGCTTTAGGAAGCTGGGAGGTCCACGTCCTCCCCAGAGAAAAACTGGAAGTTGACAATTCTACCCCCCTCCCATTTTTTGAGATTATTTCCAGCTTTTCCTTGGTGGTCTTGCTGTGGCCTCAGGTGGCTGCTGAAACCTCCAAGGCCAACCAAAGTTGCCTACCCCAATGATTTCAACATCTTGTACAAGTAACCTTTTACCTTCTTACCATCTCCTTGCTTCTAGGACTGTTGTTTATCTTTTACTGGGATCCTATTGGCAATTTACGCATGTATAACTGAAATAGTGTTAAGTCATGGTGGTGAATTTCCATGAATTAACAAGGTACTGATCACGAGTCCATCACACAACTGGGTGTACGACCAAGAACAGTTAGCACCTCCTTTAATTAGTAATATATTGTTAGCACAACTTGTATGTATAAATTGCCAATAGGATGCCACCTGTGTTTGTGTAACATGTTGTGAAAATATATTCCTAAAATACACCATCTTGGAAAATTGCTCTAACTGCAATGCCGGCAATAATATAAATCCTTTTAGTGTGATTACTACAAATTTCCATTTCAATATTTAAATGTAATTCACAGGATTCTTAATAAACTTTTATTTTGGGAAAACACACCAATATTCTTTAGTATTTTCTTTTTCTTTTCCCACTTCAGCTCTTACAAGCCATGACAAGTCGTCTACATGAAATCAAAACCATATAATTTCTCTTTATCAAGAACCTTATTAATGTTCATTAAAAAATAGTATTTCCGAGCAAGGGATTGTACGTCTTTCCTATTTACTTTCTATTAATGGCTTTAAAACATATGTATACATTAGTGTAAGGAACAGTATTATAAATTCAAATACTGTAAAACAAAACCAGCTGCATCCATTATAAGTGCATTACTGCCAGGAACTGTAAATATGTTTTTGCCTGATAGCCTTTTGACTCAATAATATCCTGCTATCTCTGTTGGACAGGCAACTTTTAAAACCAAGACGAGACAGGTTATGATTTTCACAGTAAAACAAGGTTTCTTTCTAAAGTATCTGACTGTCAAATACTTATGTTGGGGTTATATAAAAGAAAAAAAGTGTGTGGTATTAAGGATATCAGTTGAAACATTATCTCTTAAGGTGATGCATAAATAGTACAATATACATTTAGGGGACTATTCCTCCAAAACACACATAAAAGCAGACAAACCCTGACGTCATACCATACAAACAATTTTAATTGTGTAGTTACAGTCAATAACCACTCCTAGTCAGAACATTTCTGCATAAAGAAAATTGTGATACACTTATAAAAACAGCCAGCTGTAACAAAATAACTGGTGTTTTCATAGCAATAAACTCATAAAAAAGAAATACACCTTTATACAGAAAATTTATACAGCTGTAGCTTTAAAATTGATTGTAAACCAAAGGAAGACACATTGCAAACATCAATTATTTTCACATTAATTGCATAAGTTTCTAAGGTGATCTATTAGTTTTATTTACCTAAGCTTATTTGCATGATAGTAAAAATTGCATACAACAATAAGAGTGAAGCTTATAGTATGAATTGCTTGGATAACATAGAGCACTTTTTATAGGCAACTGTGTAAAGCACATTTTCTCTATTTAAAACTTTTAAGACACTTTGTTTTACTGCCCATCAAAATACATTTATAAATAGAAAAAAAATTATGATAACAAGAGAAGCAATATTACATTGAACAGAAACTTCTAAAAATTAATTACAACATGATGCTGTAGGATCTACAAATAAATAATGACGATAAACAGTGTTTCACATTTTGTTTTCAAAAAATCATGTAACAATGAAAGTGAAAATGAAAAAGATACAGTGACCTCTTACTTCTTGAAAGGAAAAGAAATCTGAGTTACGGCAGTGCCATATAATACAAGGCATTTGTTGGCATATGTTAACTTTAAACTGCATCTCACAGTCTATAGTTATTTTGTAACATACAATAGAGCAAGAGTAACAAACTCTCCTTTTTATTCTTTTATTTAAATAAATGTGAGCTTTCAAAGATCAAGTGTGGAGTGTTAACAGTAATAACTGGGAAAAAAAACAAGAAACAAATACAAAACGCCACAAAAGTAATGCTTGTCTGAAAGCTCTAGAATAAGAGTAAAGAAACAACCCACAGATAATCATGCTTATTGGATACATGTAGGTGTATCCAGTGAACACAAATTAATATGAAACAATCCTCAATGCTTCATTTCTAGTTCTGAAGCAGTTTGTAAAATATCTAGTGCAGTCTATTATCCTTTAATTTTTCTCAACTTTTGTGCAAGTTTTGGAAGATTCATTGGCCATACAATGAATAAAGAAGTTGCTGACAGAACACAGGATGGAAATTTTATTTTATTAGCAAACAGCAATGACACTTGAATAAATACTTTTTCAATTAGTCTTTCAATTCGGTATTAATGTCAGTGTTCCCTTCTACTGATAACTCTTCTTCTAATTTAACTGAAAAAAGTGTGTTCGTACTTTTGTCTTGGACACCCTCTTCCAAATCTTTAAGCAACTCTTCTTCCTTATATTCTGCAACATCCACTTCCAAGCCTGAGTTGTCTTTCAGCTTTCCGTGATGCTTGACATAATATCTCTGGTTCTGAAAGAACTTGATTATGGTATACTTGGGTAAGTCAAGTTGAGCTGAAAGAGTCTGGATTGCTTCTTCATCTGGATATAGGCCTACATCTTGTATAAAACTCTGGAGAATGCCTAGGGCTTCCACAGATATTTTTGTTCTTGGACGGGTCTTCTGACGATTTTCATCCTCAGATTCAGCTGGTGATGCTACTGTTGGCTGTCTTGGGGGTAATCTTGGACCTGGTGGTGGCTGCTGTTGCTGCTGCTGTTGCTGCTGCTGGTAGACAAAGAAAATAACACTGAATGTCGTTGTTGTTTATTAAAATGCATAAATGTTGATTATACAAAAAATGTATAATTCCATTCATTGATACTGCCCTGGTGCAGATTATGCATTCACTCTCCCCACTCCTTTCTCCTCATATGTTAAGTCCTTCTTTATTGTTGATTTTGGTTCACATTGCATGTGTAGTTATTTTTTCATGCTAACCATGATTACTCTTGCACTGGTCTACATGTTAATGTTAGCTAGTTTTGGTGTATAAACCTTTTGGGGAGTACAGAATATAAATTTAAGCATTTGGGTCATTTCCTCTCTCTTAAGAATGGCAGTTACCTAATATGCATTATAGTCTACATCTAACTGATAGTCTCAACTGGAGCAGAAAAATCTACTGACTCAATGAGATCCAGCAGAACGCTGACCTACCATCTCAATTGATCTTCTTTAGTTGGGAGTAGCAGCTGGATTTAGGTGAATGTGTGGAGTAGGCCTCTACTAGGCATATCAGCTAAAAATAATCTGAATTAAAAAAGTGAAATGGCATCACTTTGGTGGTGCATTCACACTAAGCTTGTAGAAAAAGAATATAGTGTTACCATATGCTACTGTAATTATTGTGTGAAAAGAATTGCATCCTTAAACAGATCCTAACTGAACAAGAGAAAAAAAAAGCACAAATACTACATTTATGGGCTCATCATATAATTTTAAAAGGGGGGTTGATTGATTTCCACTACTTCCATTTATAAGCTATTTATAAACATTGTGTATACTTAGAGTAGGGACGTGGTGGCGCTGCGGATTAAACCGCAGAAGCCTGTGCTGCAGGCTTAGAAGACCAGCAGTCATAAGATCGAATCCACGTGACGGAGTGAGCTCCCGTTGCTTTGTCCCAGCTCCCGCCAACCTAGCGGTTCGAAAGCATGCAAATGCAAGTAGATAAATAGGGACCACCTCTGTGGGAAGGTAACAGCGTTCCGTGTCTAAGTCGCACTGGCCATGTGACCATGGAAGATTGTCTTCGGACAAAACGCTGGCTCTATGGCTTGGAAATGGGGATGAGCACCGCCCCCTAGAGTCGAACACGACTGGACAAAAAATTGTCAAGGGGAACCTTTACCTTTACCATACTTAGAGTAAGTTCAATACTCTTGAGTGCCGCTTCTTAGGTACTCAAAGCAACAGTATCCAAGAGAAAGGCAGAAGTATCATCAAGCTCGGGGGAACCTAGAATGTTTGCAGAAGTGTAAAAAACCCTATTTTTTTAAAACTCTGAAGGGGAAAAACCACAAACTAAACTGAGAAAGAGGGAGAATGGAATGGAGTAGACTAGAAGAAACCACAGCAGACTGGCAGGAACACATAACAGGAATATTCCAAACTTTAGTATTTTTTATCCTCAGTCATGTTTAAATAATTATTTATTCTATGGACCATAGTGGAAGAAGCCTGGTATATACCATACTAGTGCATATCATCATGACTTTTGCAGAATTATCTGCATGGGCAAGATGAAAAAATTCAAAGGTAATTTGATAAGTAAAACTGGAGATTTTATGAAAAGAAATGCAATCTAAGGTTTCCAGAAACCTTCCTTATGATTTCCATATCTAATACTGCATAGAATACTTAAGCTTGAAGCAGCTTGTCCAACTGATCCACTCTTTTCAGCTGTTTAGGTCCCAGTAGTATGTAGAATAAATCCAGCAGCTTTATTTGTATTGAATCACGAACAAACAATATTTACAGACACTAAACTTTGCATTGTACAGTAATGAAAAATCAGGACTGCCACTAACGATCTCCTAAATATTCAATGATGTGAGAAGGGAGGATGATATAAAAGGAAAAAAAGGAAACTGTTTTGTCTTGTTGTCTCACTGTCAATAATCAGGTAACAATTAAAGTTAATTAGCTATTGTCATATTTCTGTTTTCTTATTTGTAAAATGAACATTTTTCAACATGTGAACACACCATACTGGTACTGTTTAAATGAACTACATCAATTTACCCTGCTGTGTATGATAGCTAAGGATGAGCAAGAGGGAGCAGGAGTGTGCCACATTTCAAATTTTGGGTGGGTGGGGGATAGAAGTCCTTGGACCCAGAACTGCTTCTGATTACAGTACTGTATATTATTTCTTACAGTTAGTGTGACACAATGGTTAGAGTGTCAAACTAGGTACAGGGTGTACAAGGTTCAAATTCCTACTCAGTCATGAAGTTCTCTAGAGCTGTTTGTGGACCAACCAACTCACTTTGATACAACCTGGGGAAGAAGAGAAAGAGAAGTGATTCTGTCAGCAATTCAACTTAACAGAATCACTAAAGGATATGTGTGATAGACATACAATTAAAGGAAGGAAAAAAGAAAAATGTTGTTTGGATTTAACTCCACTAGAACTCTGATCTGTGCTTTGCAATTTGCATCAACCAAAGTAACCCACAGATCTGCAGAGAGATCAAAATATAAACATTTAGGCAGTCTGTGTGTATGCCTGGATTCTTCAAGACAACATACCATATACAGTACTTCTGTGAGACAACCACAGAAGTCAGGAATATGCCACAGCTAATACTGAACATTCCCTTCATGGATTGCTGCCTTGTAGTGGCGAAGGGGCTTGAGTAATCCAGAGAAGCTATGGACTATGTTGTGCAGGGACACCGGAGACGGACAGGTCATAGTGGAGAGTTCTGACTAAAAGTGGTCCACCTGGAGCAAGAACTGGCAAGCTCCAGGTATCCAGATACTCCAGTATCTTTGCAAAGAAAACTCCATGAACAGAAATGAAAGGTTAAAAGATATGAGGCTGGAAGATGGGACCCTCAGGTCAAAAGGCGTCCAACATCCTACTGAGGAAGAGCAGAGAACAAGTACAAGTAGCTCCAGAGCTAATGAAGTGGTTGGGCCAAAGTTGAAAGGACGCTCAGCTGTGGACGTGCCTGGAAGTGAAAGGAAAGTCCAATGCTGCAAAGAAAAATACTGCATAGGAATCTGGAATGTAAGATCTATGAACTTTGGTAAGCTGGATGTGGTCAAACAGGAGATGGCAAGAATAAACATTGACATTCTAGGCGTTAGTGAACTAAAATGGATGGGAATGGGCAAATTAAATTCAGATGATTATCATATCTACTATTGTGGTCATGAATCCCGTAGGAGAAATGGAGTAGCCCTCATAGTAAAAAAATAGTGGGAAAAGCTGTACTGTACTGGGATATAATCTCAAAAATGATAGAATGATTTCAATACGAATCCAAGGCAGACCTTTCAATATCACAGTAAGCCAAGTATATGCACCAACCACCAATGCTGAAGAGGCTGGAACTGACCAATTCTATGAAGACTTACAACACCTTCTAGAACTAGCACCAAAGAAATATGTTGTTCTCATTCTAGGGGACTGGAATGCTAAAGTAGGGAGTCCAGAGATAAAAGGAACAGCAGGTAAGTTTGGCCTTGGAGTTCAAAACAAAGCAGGGCAAAAGCTAATAGAGTTTTGTCAAGAGAACAAGCTGGTCATCACAAACACTCTTTTCCAACAATACAAGAGGCGACTCTACACATGGACATCACCAGATGGGCAATACCGAAATTAGATTGATTATATTCTCTGCAGCCAAAGATGGAGAAGCTCTATACAGTCAGCAAAAACAAGACCTGGAGCCGATGGTGGCTCTGATCATCAGCTTCTTATAGCAAAACTCAAGCTTAAACTGAAGTAGGAAAAACCACTGAGCTAGTCAGGCATAATCTAAACCAAATCCCTTATGAATACACAGTGGAAGTGAAGAACAGATTTAAGGAACTAGATTTGGTGGACAGAGTGCCTGAAGAACTATGGATGGAGGCTTGTAACATTGTACAGGAGGAAGCAACAAAAACCATCCCAAAGAAAAGGAAATGCAAGAAAGCAAAGTGGGTGTCCAATGAGGCCTTACAAATAGCAGAGAAGGGGAACAAAATACAAGGGAGATACTGTATGGAAAATTACAGAAAATGGAATGCAGACGACAAACCTAGACAGCATCTTAAAAAGCAGAGACATCTCCTTGCCGACAAAGGTCTGCATAGTCAAAGCTATAGTTTTTTACCAGTAGTGATTTATGGAAATGAGAGCTGGACCATAAAGAAGGCTGACTGCCGAAAGATTGATGCTTTTGAATTGTGGTGCTGGAGGAAACTCTTGAGAGTCCCCTGGACTGCAAGGAAAAGAAACCTATCCATTTTGGAAGAAATCAACCCTGAGTGCTCACTGGAAGGACAGATCCTGAAGCTGAGGCTCCAATACTTTGGCCATCTCATGAGAAGAGAAGACTCCCTGGAAAAGAGTCTGGTGTTGGGAAAGTGTGAAGGCAAGAGGAGAAGGGGACGTCGGAGGACGAGATGATTGGACAGTGTCACTGAAACTACCAACATGAATTTGACCCAACTCCAGGAGGCAGTGGAAGACAGGAGGGGACTGGTGTGCTCTGGTCCAGGGGTCATGAGGAGTCAGACACAACGACTAAACAACAATAAAAATATTGAACATACAAAGGCAGAAATCTTAAATACATTCAGCAGTATTGTTAGTTTCTGATAGCACTACTGCTACTGGTACACATAGCCAAACCCTACATGTTTACTCAAACTAAGCCCTTATAATTTTAATGGGACCTCTTTTTACTAAATATGTTCAGGATTGTAACTATGAGCATTACTTACAAGATAAACAAAACCGTTTCTAGTAACATGACAAGTGAACATGAGAAAGTGGCAGAATATGAGAATGTTTGTAGAAAATAAGGATTTTGTTTTACTTTTATATGTGTGAAATTCATTAAAATCTGCAGTTTTCAAGCCTGTGAAGCAGCATTTGTTAGCATTGATCTCCTTATACTCTCCTTAGCAAAATCAAATGCTATGATTCTCAGCTTTCAGTTTCAAGAAGCTAATGTTCTATTCCTCAATTTGTTTTATCTTTAATAATTAAATTGTGGACTACAATTTACTGTACTGTGGGCTACTGAAACACTCTCAAATATTACTTGGAATGATTAAGAGGACTACTGTTCCTTGTAGAAGAAAAAAACATTAAGCCCAGATCTTCAATACAATAGACTAAAATGGCCACATTGTTTATTTATTGTTCATTTTTTTACCCTACCCTTTAAATTACACTATGATACAGTTTACATTAAAATTAAAACTTTAAGAAGTCTCAAAGACCCCGTTCTGTATTGATACAGAAGGAAACATTGGCTGAAGCCCTGAATCCCCTCCATTTCTCTCCCTAACAGATCAAACTTGTGCCAGCTCACCTGGGGAGCAGCACCCAGCCATGGTCCAGTGGTCAACAGCCCAGGTAAGAAGGCGCCTCTATGCTCTCCTTTCCCAAGGTTGGTGGGAGAGGGGCTCTAAAGGGAAGACAAAACAAAAAACAAAAAACAAAAACAAAAAAACATTGACTCATGCCAACTTTCAAAAACTGTGGAGGTAAGTGGGATGACGAATTTGGGGCTTGTATTCCTCTTATTATTTCCACTTAAATGAACTACTCCTGTAGACACTTTGGTGGCCTTTTTGTTTTAAAATTATGGTATCTAAAATATCTAAATCCTATACATGTATAAATTATGGCCCAATACAAGTACTGCATATGCACTTCAGTTATTTTTGAAGCATCAGAATCACTGGCAATCCAGCTGTTGACAAAAGAGTTCATGAAATGAAAAAAGGTCTCAAGTGCACATATAGTACTTCGTTAGTATACACCTTTAATTGAGAAGTTGCACTCACCCAACTTTTTCTTTTTTAAAAAAGTAAAAGATATATTTCAGTGGCCCAATGTGGGAGATGCTGCTGATGGGAAAACTATATAATTAATTCTGATGTATTGCACAAAAAGTCAGGTATTTGTTAAAAATGAATAATGTCAGATATTAATTGTGCAATATTCTTACTCATACTAAGACATTGCTACTTAACATGGCAGAAACAAAAGGTTTCCCCCCCTCTCCCCCCAGGTTAAGCTTTCTTCTTCCTCTTCCTCCTATACGGAATAGGCCAAGGCAAACCAACCTGAATCTGCTCTGCTGGAACATGGATAATGTGGGAAGGTCTGTCGCCATGGTGATGAACTGCATTGCTTTCTTGTTCGTAAATGGCATCTCGTTCAGGCTGAGGAAGACTGAGGAACCTCCGGATCATTGACAGATTCTCCCAAAGTGTTCTGTTCTCAGGTGAAGGATCTTCTTTCCAGCGCAAGAGTTCACAAAGCCATCCCTTGGGATAATATAATAACATATTAGATCATTTGAGTAAGAAACTATGCCTCACAAACCCTTTCCTTGGAAGCAATGAGGTCAAACCTAATCATTTCATAAAGAAGAATAAACTATAATACTGCTCTATGAAATTCTGCAAAATAAAAATCAAAACATCAAGAGACCATAATGTTGCTTTCCTAAACCAGAAAGAGAGAACAAATGTTTAGAATAATAACCTAGTGCTTATAGCTGTCGTATGCTTTAAAAAACCAACAGAAAACAAGCAAACCACCATTAGCACATTGCATATTTCAAGTATAAAGGATAGCATTCAATTTTCTCTTATTTTATTAATATAGTGCCGCTGGTTCTCTTTTACACAAACCTGTATCCATCTGAGAAACAAAAAGGGCTTGAGATGGCTTGTATATTCAATGTCTCTTTTTAAATTTAAAAAATGCTTGTGTTATTTTTCTAGTTCAGCACAAAAGAACATCTCCTGTTATCTATTTTGATTCTAAAGATGGCTCACATAATCATATGATATGGAAGAATCTGAATGTATTTTTGAAAGGAGGAAAAAAAATCCTTGGAACAAACATATATGGAACAGGTTTTCCTTTTTCTTGCTATATGCTCAGATGCTTCTCCTGAAATACCAAAACCAGTTGACAAGTCATCCCCCTAATCAGGAACATCTGATTTGAAAGTCAAACTCAGTGTTTTACGTATAATACAGACTGGACAACACTTTTCACCATTTTCATATCACAGCACATGCAACCTATCTATAAAAACACCTGCTATAACCCAAGCATGTTCTATGGAAAAACAGGCTTGAAAGTGTGCCAAAAGATTGTCCCAGGAGAACTGTAGCAAATGCTAATTTGCTTCTAAAATAGATGCACAGATTTTGCCCCCTTAACCGTTTATAAGGCATCTTAAATGATATCTGTTGTATCATTTAATTTTTAAATATTGGTTTTAAAGAAACAAGACAAAGGAAAAAAAACCAGTGTTTCGTTTACATGAAAATACATGGATTAAAATACAAGTTAAACAAAGTGTTTAACAAAGAACTAAGCATTGGCGTTTATACAATTTAAGGATGGGGAGAAATTTATTATTTTTAAATGACTATAATTCAGTTAATGTTTATTCTGCCTTCTTAGACGAAGATCATTTGGCAATTTACAAACTCAGAAAACAAGATCAAAGTGTCACAGTATCAGTGAAATAAAAACAATTTCAAGATTATTTTTTACTGCAAGTGTCGGAGCCAAAAGGTAGGGGTCTGCCACTAAAAGGCCCCTGTCCCTTATATCTGCTAACTACAAGAAGGGTAACACATAAGTTTTCATATGAATTAGTGATGTTTCTCAGTGTTGTACCTGAGAACAGAGCCTCTGAGGTCAATTTTAGGTCGAATCACATAGGATTCATACCTACTGAAGGTTAACCATGTGTAAACTCCTACTGAACTCAATGAGATGGAACTCTTAGGTTTTACCATATTCTACCACCAATGATTAGTCTGGGAAGATGATAAAGTGCGAACATAGGAGAAATGCTCTTCAATATATGGATATATAGTTGCAATGTTTTCAGTGTATATTGAGTGTGTTGTACGGATGGAAGTTGAAAGCAAAACCCTTTGCTTATGAAGATGCCAACACTGGCTCCTGAATGTAGAAATGCTACTGTCTCTGTAAAGAGAAACCTATCACATTAAGGTAAAAGCTGATCTATATTCTTTCTACCTAGCATTTTAGCTCCATTCAGAGTAGGGAGTTTCTGACTGGGTAGATAGAATGTGATGTTACTGTTTATACTAGTGAAATCACTGATGGTGAGCAACTGACATGCCCTCATTAGCAAGATTATGTTTTCCTGATCCATTTCAAAATATTACTTAAGTTCAGCAAACACACAAGACACACATTCTTTTTGCCTGCTTTAAAATACCCAACTCTGTTTTTTCATGAGATACATAAAGTCGGTACATATTGGGCAGAAGAACCATTCCACATGTACTAGCCATATTCCCATCAAACTCTCAATCTCTGCACCATGCTGTACAGTATATCTGGGTGCTAGAATGCTCATAACATAAATGGCTTGGTTTGCAGATAAGAGGCTATAAAAAGGGGCACATGTATGTTCCATGGGCTGTAAATAATTTAATAAGTAATTCCGGAAAAAAAGAAGACTTGATATATTCAGCAAGTATTTGCTCTTGTTGTCACTTCTGTGTTCTGAGTGCAGACATATCTTTATTAATTACCCATGACTAATAAAACATTTCCAGTAGTCTGCTATTAACCTTGGCCCTGAAATAATACTTCTAATTCCTCACCCTCCAAACAGTGTGATGAATTACAAATGTAAATACAACTCAGCTTTTTGATGGTAGCCCAGTAATTTTGAGAGATTACAGAGATATGGTGTTGTTGTTTTTTTGAAAAAAATTAAAACAAATCTAAAAATATAAAAATGATTTCTTGCCCTACATTTTAACTTCTGCATCCCATTTTACTTCTATTTTAAAATAGCTGTTATATTTTATGACATACTACTCTCATTATACGGATGTATATAACATGGAACATTTTCTTTTAAAAATAAAAACAATCATTTAATTATGAATATCTAAACTATTTCAACACGAGTAAGCTCATGTCTTAAATTAACATTTATTTCAATATATTCAAAGAAACCCATTCCATCTTGACTCCTACCCCAAGGACTGCAGAGGTGAATAAACACTGAAATAAATCTCTTAAAGTGTGCCACTAAGTTTTTGTTCTTTAGAGGAGAAACTGACATTTTTTTTCATACAGAGCTCCACTGCCAACAGTTCTGAGGACATTTTAATACTGTACAACATTGGTTCATTCAAACTCAGTGTAGAACCAAAAAAAGTAGGCAGGCCTTTTTTAACATTGTGAAAAATTTATGTGCTGCAAAAACCTCGTTATTGCATATCTTTAGGTTTAAACACAACCTGTCCTGAATTCTGTGGGTTATACACTGGAATATAGATCACAAATGCATGTATCACTTTCAACAGAAGGAGAGATACATCTTTCCTTGCATCAAATATAACACAATTAGTATTTAAAAAGGGGTACAGAGAATGTTTTTAAAGAAGTTCATGAATGCATTACATTATTGTTCAGTAACACATCTGGAAGCCCACCCTTGAAGAGAACAACCTAAAATGGCAGTAGAAATAAACCTAAATACCTGTGCAGCAACTTTGCCAGGCAGCATTGCACTGCATATAAAGAAGGAAGAAGACAAGGCAAAATATAAACATTAGTCACATGTGAATATGCAGATGAACTTTCAGGATGTTACTACTTTTCAAACTGGCAAAGTTTAATTTGACACCTTCTGTTCTAAAGCCTTTGTTTCTATTCAAAATCACGCCTTTAGCTGCTATCAATCACTACGCTCTCTCCCTATTACTTAAGATACTGGCTTGGGCCTTGGGATAAGCTGAAAATGCCATGCAGATGAATTCTAAGATAGTATGTTCAAACCTGTTATATACAACACAAATCCTGTAAAGTTATGTATTGTAAACCTACATTTATTGAGAAGTCAAGTTTTAAATCCATCTGCCACAAAGGAAATACTGCTATGCACTTTATAGCAGCTGAGTAACATATGCAAAGGTCTTGCTACACTAAGCAGGAAAATGATGAAAGAGAAGCATTTAAGTAAGTTTTCTGAGCTCATTTTTTAAAAGATTTTTTTTAAATTTAAGAAACATAAGACTTTTTTAAAGTGAAAGAAACACAACTGCCAAATATTCATTTGGTATAAAATCTCTCACTTAGAATACAGTATTATAATTCAACTTCTATGGATTATAGCAATTCCATGGCTGAAATCCTGTTGCTTAGCAGCTAGTTGCACTGGAGTAGACCCACTGAATCAGTGGGTAAAGGTTCCCCTTGACAATTTTTGTCCAGTCGTGTCCGACTCTAGGGGGCGGCGCTCATCCCGCTCTTCAAGCCATAGAGCCAGCGTTTGGCCGAAGACAATCTTTCCATGGTCACATGGCCAGTGTGATTTAGACACGGAACGCTGATTACCTTCCCACCGAGATGGTACCTATTTATCTACTCGCATTTGCATGCTTTCGAATCGCTAGGTTGGCGGGAGCTGGGACAGGCGACGGGAGCTCACTCTGTCGCGTGGATTCGATCTTACGACTGCTTGGTCTTCTGACCCTGCAGCACAGGCTTCTGCGGTTTAGCCCACAGCACCAATCAGTGGGTACTTGATGAATTAACTCCTCTACAAGTTCCATGGATTCAGTGGGCTTACTCTAGTTGCAATTTATTATGTTAAGCAACTGGGTTTCAGCCTATGTTTCATGTCTGTCACATTTTACTGTACAACACAATTCAGGGCCTGGAAAAACGATATGACCAGTAACACTTTGGTTTCCAAAACAAATATCTATTTTCTATTTGTTTTTTACAAATATGATTTGTCACAAAGTGGAGGCCTGATAAAAATAAGAAGAGGTTTTATTTGGGATTTTTTATTGCAAAGTAATTTGTGATTCTATTTTTAACAATTCAATTGTATATAAATATATTAATGAAAATAAGTTAACAAATCTAATTTATAAAATCTGAAGACTAATTCATATTTTGTAAATGTAAAATTTGGAAGGCTTTTTCTATTCCAAAATTAGAGGTAGGAGAATTCTGTTACAGTCTTTGGTGTACAGAGTATCATACAAATATACAGTAATAAAAGAAACAGTCTAAATAAGGATATTTGATACAAAGGTTTTAGTGAAAAGCATGAATTACATTTCATATGCAGCATGAACAGGGTTTAAGTACATAATCCATTAAACAGTAGTTCTGAGTAAAAAAAGGGAATTCAGTCTTCTTGTAGACTAAACTGCAATACGCATTTTGAATGAGCTCATTGTCAACAACAACTAACTGTAAAGCTAGCAATTTATCATTCAGCAAATAATTTTCTAGT